CCTGGGGCCGGGGGGTGGGGGGGAGGCAGGGCCGTGCCCCCCAGGCTCTGCCCCCACCCACGCTCCAACCCCTCCGGGAGACAATGTCACCCGGCCTGGGGGGGCTCTGCCAGCACCGCCGGAGGGAACCACCCTGGAGCCCCATGAACCTGCACTTGACCTCACCACCTGGCTGGGCCCTGGGGCGATGGCGCGCGGGGACCGTGGGCGTGGGAACCCGCCTGGCTTGCTCACGCCCGGACGTCAGAGCCCTGCAGGGAGCCCGCCCGTGGCCCAAGGGGCCTTTCCCTGGGGGAGGGGTAGAGGCAAGACCCTGCAGCACCCCCGCCCCGCCGGGGTACGTGGCACGGAGCCGGTCACCCACGGCTGAATGCCCGTGTCCGCCCCGGGAGCCAGGAAACACTGGGAGAAACCCACCTCGGGGGCAGCAGGGCATCCTCCCCGGGTGGACCAGATCCCCATGCCTAGATATGGGGGCCGGCGCGGAGGGTGGCTCCAGAGCCAGCCCAGCCGGAAGGGCCAGGGGCTGGGGGTACCCGGGCCTGGCTCAGCATGACCTGGCCCCCTCCCTTGCCTCCTTCAGCCTAGGATGGACTTCCCCCGGGATTAGTCATCCACTTCGCTCCGGCATTGGCTGGGCTGGGATTTGCTTCCTAGTTTGGGCATCGAGAGAAGCCCGGTCCGGGGACGAGTCACCTGGAGCCCCGGGGCTTGCACAGGCCGGGCCCCCCCATGATGAGCGATGCCCGTTTCCTCTGCCTGGGTGATGAACCCGCTCCTGCCCCCGGGCACCGGGCACCCTTAGTCGGGGAAGGGGGGGCCCAGCTCCTGCTCCTCCCAGCCTTCCCCTGCAGCTCCCCGGGGCCCGGCCGTGGCCCAGCCCCTCGGCCCCGCAATGAAAGACCTCATCTGGGCAGAAACTTCCCGCTCCGCCTCCCCAGCTGCCTGCAGCCCCGGTGCCAGGAAACGCACCCCCCGGTTCCTCCTCCCGGGCCTGCCGGGCGGGGGGCAGGGTTTTTTTGCTTCTTAAGGATGAGCTGATCCGGGCCCGGCTCCCCCGCTCGCCGCCGCGGCGCAGAGTCACCGCTGCCTTCGCTCATGGGCTTTGACGTCAGGAAGCAAATGTTTCCTGCTCGGCGGCGAGAACAGGGATGGGCGCTGGGCTGGACCGAAAGCCCCGCCGGGGCCTGGTCCCTTCCCCCAAAGCGGGGCTTGAAGCCAGAGGTGCAACGCCCTAGGGCAGATGCGGCCTGCTGCGTCCAGCTGTGCTGGGGGCAGGTGAACGCCCTCCCTCTCCCGCTGCTTCCCAGTAGCCCGGGGCCGGCGCCCCCGGCCCATCGCACCGGGTCCAGATGCCCCAAACCCGGCTCGTAAGCGCCACAGAGGTGCCGGGGCTAGTCCTGGGGTGCACGTCCCCGGAGCGAGTGCTGGCCCCTGGGCAGGCCTCACTGGCACGTAGGCCCCGAACTCCTGCTGCTGTCCAGGGGACTTAGGAGCCCTGTTGAGCACCGAGCCTGGTGATGCGGCATCGTGCACCCCAACGGCCTGGGCTGCCCCGAGCTGGCCGCGTCCGGGGAGGCTCGTGCATTCAGCCTCTGGTCGCAGCTAATGACAGGGGAGGTCTCTCCATGCTGACCCCACGTGCTTGTGGTGGCCTGAGTAAACCCGCCCATCCCAGCGTTTGCCTTCCTGGACAGAGCCAGTGCCCCAGGACAACCGGGCGGCCCGTTCCGCCGTCCCCGCTTGGAGCCCCGTGAAAGCTGCCACGGGACGCAGACACCCACGGCGCTTGCGTGGCAGCGGGACATGGAGCGGTGCAATCACACAAGGGCGGTGGCACTTGGGTCGTGGCGCTGGTGCCATGGGGCCTCATGCTTGGGGGTGCTGGGCACGGGGTGCCATGGGAGTGGGGTGCAGCGTGGTCCCAGGCACCGTGGGCCCAGAGATGCAGCGCGGGCCCAGATGCTCCATGCCCAGGGTGCAGGACGGGCCCAAATGCCCCATGTCCGGGGTGCTGCATGGCCCAGGTGCCCCACGCCCAGGGTGTCACATGGCCCAGGGGTGCTGCATGGGCCAGATGCCCCATGCCCGGGGCGTCACATGGCCCAGGTGCCCCACGCCCGGGTTGCCCTGTGGCCCAGGTGCCCCATGCCCAAGGTGTCACATGGCTCAGGTGCCCCGTGCCTGGGGTGCTGCATGGCCCAGGTGCTCCACACCCGGGGTGCTGCGTGGGCCAGATGCCCATGGCCGGGGTGTCACATGGCCCAGGTGCCCCACACCCCGGGTGCTGCGAAGCCCAGGTGCCCCATGCCCGGGGTGCCCCGTGGCCCCCAGGCGCCGGGCGCAGATTCCGGGGCGGCAGCTTGGTTCATGCAGGTTCCGGGGCGCTAGAGGCGGAGCCGAGCCCACCAGCCGCCCCACGTGGCCGGGGACGCGCCCGGCCATGGGGGAGCGTGT